ATGCTAAGAATGAACAAGACATCAACTCACTGATCCACCTGACACAGATCTACAGTGAGGACATTGGGATGTCATTCAGACTGGAGAATTGTGGCTGAATAGTAGTAAAGAGAGGGAAGGTAGTTAAACCTGATGAGGTGGAACTAGCAGTGGGCCACACAGCAGACATACAGACCAGCTACAAGTACCTTGGTATCCCACAGTCACATAGGAACCATGAGGAGGAGGCAAGGAAGACAGCAATATCCAAGTACCACCAAAGGATAAAACAAATCCTGAAAAGCCAACTCAATGGGAAGAACATGATCCACACCATCAGCATATATGTCCTACCGGTCATAGATATCTGTCAGTATAGTGAACTGGCCAAAGGCGGACATGGAGGCTGCTGATGTGAAGACCCAGAAGCTCCTCACAATGTATGGAGGTTTCCACCTCAAGTCCAATACCCAGAGACTGTACACCAGCCAGAAAGCCAGCAGGCAGGGTCTGCTGAGTGTCAAAGCCACTGTCCTGGACAAAACCCAGAGCATCCAGCAGTACATCAGTAAGATGGCACCTAAAGATGAGCTGCTGAGAAAATGTCTGAGGCAGCAGCAGACATGGGAGAAGTTCAAGCACAGGAAGTGTCATGGCAAGACAAGACCCTGCATGAGATGTACCACTGACAGATAGCTAAAGTAGCTGACACTGGGAAATACTACCAGTGGCTGGAAAGGGCTGGACTAAAAGACAGCACTGAGGTATTGATCAGAGCAGCACAGGAACAGGCACTAAGCACCAGATCCATAGGAGCAGGGGTCTACCATACTAGATAGGACCCATGTGGCAGACTGTGCAGAGAGGCTTCCAACGAGTAGTGGCAGGGTGGAAGATGCAAGCAAGACCAGCATACACTGAATGGCATGACCAAGTAGCTGGCATTATATACAGAAACATCTGCAGTGTATGGACTAGACCCTCCAAAGTCCAGATGGGAGATTCCACAGAAAGTCATGGAGAGTAACAGGGCCTGTGGAACTTCCAGATCCAGATGGACAGGCAGATACTGGCCAATCAACCAGACATCGTGGTAGTAGACTAGGACTAGAAGACAGTGGTTGTGATAGATGTAGCGGTGCCAAGTGACAGCAACATCAGGAAGGAGTATGCGAAGCTGGAGAAATACCAGGGCCTGAGGAGGAACTAGAGAGGATGTAGAAAGTAAAGGCCAAAGTGGTCCCAGAGGTGGTAGGAGCACTTGGGGTTTTGACTCCTAAGCAGGGAGAGTGACTCCAACAGATCCCAGGAACAACATCAGAGCATATAAATTTAATAAATTATTATTATATAATCAGAAATATAACCTTAACAGAAATTGTAAAATAATAATAAGAAACAATTAACCTTTAACATTACTCTATGTAAAGCTTGTGAACTTAGCTACTTTTCAATATGCTTAAATATACAGTGGAAGTATTTGTTTAAATTATTTAGATAAAGGTTTTTACGATAACCTCTTGTAATTTCTGTTCTACAGATTCAATTAAAATTTCCAAGAGTATAGTTTACAAGAGAGCAGACCTTCAGCTATTGACTTATTAAAAACATCCTGAATTAATGTACCTTTATTTGCACAGTTTCCTGTATCAAACTGCTAGTGTACAAAGCTGAAAGAAATGGATAGGTATAGCGACATCTTTTGAGGGCAAGTGGGCCTGAACTAAACACTTTTGAGGGAAAATTATTTCATAATTACAACTGTTATATCTAACAAATAATCCCAATTCTTGATGTCTGGCAGCCAAAAAGATAATTGATTTTTTGTAAGCATGCTCACTAATATCAAAGTCTTCAGTGTCACCCATGGGGCCAACTGAGTCTTACATTTAACAGCTTACCATATCAGCAGTTTTCCTCTAATCCTCTAGTAAACCATCTATTTGATCAGAAAGCTAGAAAACACAAGATTTTGTGACCATACTTTAACTACCCCCATATGGGGGGATTGGAAAAATGTTGGGAAGCATCAAGTGGGACAGTAGAGATCAATACAGAATTAATATATGTGCATGGATATATAGAGACTGGGAACAAAAAACAGCCTGATGAAATTTTTCATGTGAGCTTTTACAAAGGTTCTCTGTTGAAAAAACAAATGATTAGTTGATTTGAACTTACCCTAAGATTCAAGTTTCTGTGTTTAGTAACACAGTATACTAAATATATTGCCACTTTCCTAGTAACCCTGGAAAAACTGAATCTGAAAAGTTGCCACATTTGTGCTATCAGCCCTCATGGAAGTAAGTATATATTTGATACGATAATTTTTGTTTTGCAAGAATGTATTATCAGCAAAATAATAACCACATCACTTTGGTAGCATATTAACCAAGTTTTTATCTCTGTATTTCAAATATGTTGCTGAAGATATCATTCACTTAGATGTGATAAATATTAATTTTATGGCAATAACCTTGATGATTTAAGAGTTCTTTCTTCAAAACAAAGCATTATAATAAATCATCTAGCTGGATATTTCTAAAGCTAGCTTACCTATTTTATGAACATGACTTTATATTAAACAAATTATTGAAATTTCAAACCAAAATATCACAACCATGCATCCCTTAAAATGGCGGCCTTTTACTGGCTTAACAAGGAAGAGAATGCTGAAGGAAAGGTAGTAAAACTGCTTACCTTTTCTAACTTTTTGGCCTCTATGTGCCGTAGTACTTGTTCCCTCCAGTCATGAGGAACTTTATTTTTTCCTGGGGGATCTATCAGAGAGTATTCAGAATTAACTCGTGGATTTGTTCTTTTAGAAGGACTAGTCCTTGAGTAATTGAAGTCACTGACCGACATAGTTCTCTCTGGTATATCATTTGCTGAAGGGCGGGCACTCTGAGGTCGTGGTACATTTGGTCCATCAATGCTATGTGTTCTTGCAGAAAGAGGTCTCTGTGGCCCTGACATTATTGGTGGGACTCTTCCCACTGAATGCAAGTCCCTATACGTTAAATAATCCCCCTCAGGAACCAGAGGACGCCGTGAAGATCCAGAATCAACATTCATTGAAGCAGTAGAAGAAACACTACTCTGTCGCTGAAGAGTATTTCGGGTTGCTCCAGAAGGATGCCTGTCATTTGGGGAAACAGCCCACATTTCCATATGCCTACCACCCATCCTTTGGTGCATATTATAGGCAGCACTAGCTCTAACATTGTTATGGTTAGAGAAATTCATGTTGGCTGAATGTTTTGCAGAAGTGCAGCTCTCTGCACTATCCAACCTGGGCAAGCGCTGAGAAGACAAACAGCTTTGTTCAACTACAGAATTTTGTTTCTGGAGCCACAAAGACTCTTTGGGTACAATACTGCTACTATATTGTACATTATATTGAGGAGTAGTGAATGGCTGTGAAGAATTCGGCCCTTGCCCTCTAACTGTATTGGTATCTTCAGGGTTATGATTCAAATCAAATTTAATCGATGTTTTTGTAGATATTAAATCAGATGATGATGAACATCCAGGAAATACTTGTAATGGCTGGTCATACAGGAGAGTAGCTGACTTGCTCCGGACTATATTTTTTCCATCTGGAGCCATACCTGCTGATTTTATTACTGGACTGGGGTGCTGAGATCCACTCTCATTGATAATATCACAGACTTTTAGAGTACCTGTCTCCATGTTAGTTATGCTATGGGATTTCACAACTGGCCCACTCCTCTGTGGAGACAAGTCTTCAGTACTTTTTGAAAGACACATTTCTGAAGAAGAATCAGTATCAATGGTAGCACTTCTCTTCAGCTCTGATTTTCCTGCAGAGTGTGGCATACCTTCAGAATGTCCATTGATATTATTTATTGGACATAAGTTTGAATATTTATTTTCATTTTCCAACTGTTCAATTTCTTCTTTTATATGGTCATTTATAAAGTCTTTAATTGATATTTCTGTTGATTTTATTTGATTCACTACATTTGATTGTATTCCCTCTTCAGTTAATTTGCAGATATTTCTGTTGATCTGATGTAAGTTGTGAGACTCATCAGTAGCACTGTTTAGCTCAACACCTTTCTCTATTAAAGCTAATCTCTCCTCAATATTTAAACTGAATTCAGAGAAATTTGTAATTTTATCTTGAGAGTTCATTTTTTCTTCTATCGTGGCATTTACTTCTACTCCATTTTGTAAAAGACTATTAGAATTTTCATCTTCTTGCCTGTAAAATAAAACATTGATAATTTCATAAATAAGGTAAGAGCAGCTTTATAAGGATGCCCATATTTGATAAACACATTTTAAAAGAAAGTAGAATTGAGCCAGATTTAATCATTCAGAGACAAATGAAATGGACTTAAGATCCATTAATTTCAATACATTTCACCGAGATTTGCACAACTTTATACTGTGACCATGCCAAGATATAGTAAACTATTGTAAACACTCTATAATCAGAAAGCATATTATACTATCAGTTTAAAATATTGTTCAAGGATTTATTTTAAATCATCTGATTGTCCATTTATTATTTTTATAAAAATAAAATAAATAAAATAAAATAAAGAACAAGGAGACGTCACAGAAGAAAATGTTTAAGAATTTCTGACAATATACATTGTCTCCTATGAAAATTATTTATTTGACCATATCAGCTTCCCTGATACTGTAAGGCAAGCAGAGGGAGCAACATCTTTTTAGGCAACAAAAATAAGTAATGAAATAGGTATCAGATAACCAAGAAAAGGGAGAGTTATACAACTTATCTAAGGTGATAATGGAAACAGGGATGATGGCGTTCTATTCAGTCTTCTCTAACAAACAAACACACAAACAAAAAAAAAGCTGTGTTCTACCAGGAAATTGTGAATTGCATGATGAAGGGGCAGACTGAAGCTTTAGACTAACAAACATTGTTAAGGAATATCACTTTATTTTGAATTAATTTAAATCTTCAAAACAAGATAGAGGAACCAGTTAATGGCCTAGCTGAACCCTTCCCTGAGCAATCCTGGAGAACTGGTGACATGCCAGATGGCTGGAGGATAAAAAATGTTGCCCTGTCTTCAAAAACAGGAAAAGGAATATCCAGAAACTACAGGTAGTCCTTGTTTAACGACCACAACTGGGACCAGAATTTAGGTCACTAAGCAATGTGGTCGTTAAGCAAATTATCATGTGACTGCTTCACTTAGTGACTGCAATCCCAGCAGTCCTGGTCGCCATTGTTAAGTGAATGCCCCAGTCATTAGGCGAGGCAACTTCCTGCTGGCTTCCCACAATCAAGTCAGTGAGGAAG